CTTGCAGTCCAGGGGACTCTCAAGAGCCTCCTCCAGCATCACAATTCAAAAGCATGAATTTTTTGGCAGTCAGCCTTCTTTATGGTCCACCTCTCACTTCCATACGTCACTACTGGAAAAACCATAGTTTTGACTATGCGTACAGTAGCTTCTATGGACGGAAAAGAGCAGATACAGATTAAATGGTTTTCAATGCATTCCTATGGGAAATGCAGATTCAACATAAGAACCTTTCAACTTGAGAACCACCTTCCAATACGGATTAAGTTCTTAAGTAGAGACCCCACTGTACCTTTTTTTTGCAAGGTGATATCTCTGCTTTTTAAGATGCTGTCTAGGTTTGTCATCGCTTTTCTCCCAATAAGCAGGTGTCTTTTAATTTCGTGGCTGCTGTCCCCATCTGTAGTGATCATGGAGCCCAAGAAAGTAAAATCTGTCACTGCCTCCATATCTTTCCCTTCTATCTGCCAGGAGGTGATGGGACCAGTGGCCATGATCTTGGGTTTTGTTGTTGTTTTTTTTGATGTTGAGCTTCAGACCATTTTTTGTGCTCTCCTCTTTCACCCTCATTAAAAGGTTCTTTAATTCCTCCTCACTTGTTGCTAACTGTTGCTTCCTGTCCCAAGTGTAGGTTTCTCAGGAGATAGATACTGTAAGGTTATCAGGCACTCCCATATCTTTAAGAACTTGCCATAGTTTGTTGTGGTCCACACAGTCAAAGGCCTTTGCATAGTCAATGAAGCAGAAGGAGATGTTTTTCTGGAACTCTCTGGCTTTCTCCATAATCCAGTGCATGTTAGCAATTTGGTCTCTAGTTCCTCTGCCCCTTCGAAATCCAGCTTGTACTTCTGGGACTTCTCGTTTCACATACTGCTGAAGCCTACCTTGGAGGATTTTGAGCATAACCTTGCTAGCGTGTGAAATGAGTGCAATTGTATGGTAGTTGGAGTATTCTTTGGCACTGCCCTTCTTTGGGATTGGGATGCAGACTGATCTTTTCCAGTCCTCTGGCCACTGTTGAGTTTTCCAAACTTGCTGGCATATTGAATGTAGCACCTTAACAGTGTCATCTTTTAAGATTTTAAATAGTTCCACTGGAATGGCCTTGTTGTTAGCCATGCTTTCTAAGGCCCACTTGACTTCACTCTCTAGGATGTCTGGCTCAAGGTCAGCAGCCACACTATCTAGGTTGTCTGGGTGCTGCATGTGATGCTCTCAAACTAACATCATATGGGCCAAGGTTTGACAAATTATCAGCATGCATACAACATCAAAAACTCACTATGTGCAAAAGCATGCCAAGTTGAGTATCCCTCATCAAAAATACATGCATATAATTATTTTAAAAGTTTGTATAAATTGCCTGGCTTGTATTACTTTAATATTTGTTTCCATTTAGTAGAGTTAATGGTTATTTTTCAATAAAAATATTCTTATCATTAAAAGTTATGTTTTGAAGACAAAAGATGATGATTAATTCAGACAAATATATGAGTTATATATTTCAGATTTAATTGCAGTGTTGCCACTTTGAAAGAAATAATTTGGTTTTGTGTCGCCATTTGGGCACTCGGGCTCAAAAAGGTTAGCCATCACTGCACTAGACCATTGTATAATCCTATCACATCTGATCACCAAATACGCTTCACAGCCGAACACTCGTCTGTTTACAACTTTTTTAGACCTAAAAGGGGCCTTTGATTCTGTAGACAGAGATATTTTTTGGCTAAAGCTCTCTAAACTGGGCACTGGTAGGAGGCTCCTTTTTCTGATTCAAAAACTCAATGCAGGCTTACCTGTCACATAAAAATATCGATGCAGGGTGGTCCTTTCCAATCAGATTTTTTCCAACATCGGAGTGTGTCATGAACCCAGTTCCCCGGTTTATTTCTCTACACAACCCAGGTTCACTTTAGGGAATGACACTTGTTTTCAACCCTTTCCGCCGCCACCAGAGGATTTCTCCTCACTCAAATATGATTCTTAAATCAGTGTTATTCAATCAAACAAAGTTTATTAAAGTGTTCATCAGTAAATTATGTAAAGTAAATCATGGATGGAATTATTTCATTTAATCAATCAACTGTGCTTTAGTAACATTTATATTTGCTTATGCAGAATCATGTTAATACAAGTATTTATTCATTTCTTTTCTTATTCATTTCTTTGTCTCTCTGTCACTCTTCACTAACACAAGACTGGTCCTGACTGAAACTCTAACTGATCCCTGACTGAAGTCTTCTCTAACTCCTAACTCATTTCTCTAACTCTCAACTCAGACTCTAACTGATCTTTAACTGTCATCCATTCTCTTATATATCTCTAGTTCCGCCTTTTCTGTCCAGCTATTGGCTCTTGAATCAGGGTTCCATTGTAACGGACAGGAGTGGTCCCTGACCTGTCCGTCACAGAGTGAAGCAAGACTGTGTTCTGGAGCCAACTCTGTTTAACTTATTTATTAATGATCATGCCCCACTCTTACATAGTATCAATGGCCATAATCCCAAACTAGGCCCTATAGATTTCAGTCATATGTCGATGACATGGTTCTCCTGTCCTGCACAAGGGTCAGCCTAAAGTGGCTAGTTAGCGGTTGCTATGACTACTTGACACTCAACAAGCTCCAACTAAATTTAGTGAAATCTAAAATTATAGTCTTTTGCGAAGCATGGAAAACCTTTTCTTGGTCTTTCAATGGTAATTCTATCTAGCATGTCAGAGAGTTTAATATTTGGTTGTCTTTTTTCATTATAGACACACTTGGTCGATTCACCGGCAGACAGCAATTAAGTCAGCAAAGCTTTCAGTGCAGGCTGTCCTATGCTTCCATCGTACTTGGGGCCCCTCGTACATCCCCACTGTACTGCGGATTTTTAATACAAATCAGCAGTACATTTTCTTCATGGCGTCCCCATCTGGATGTCTGCATTCCACAGCTTTGTGGAAAGGATCCAGTCAGTGTTCCTGTATAAATCTTTGACCTGCTCCGCTGTGTCTCCTATGCCTTGAAGTCGGCCAAGACAGGATTGAGAACCTGGCTTGGCTTAGATTCTTTAAATACTGGGTCAGAAACTGTTTCTGCTCATCCCAGGACATCCTATTCCAAGTGCTGCTTTCTGACAGAGTATTTCCAAAATGTTTGGCCCTATTTATCAAGAAAATAAAGACCCTGGGGTTGTCACTAGATCTGCTGGGTTCAATACCCTTATCCCAAATATTCTGTACAATCAAAAATAGAGTTCTGGATATTGACGGGCAAATCCTGCTCAGTGTTGCACAAAGGGTCTGTTCCCCACTATATTTTCAGTTGCCCCTCTCCCATGGCAGAAGACCGAATTATCTCTATCTCTTAGAGCATCCCCAAGACCGATGGACATTCACCCTTGCTAGGTGCAATATTATAGCTTCGAACTTAGCACAGGGCAGATATACGGGTTTACCCACAGAACTTACCCTGACAACAGTCAGATACATCTACTCCATCATGCAGAGGTGACGCATTGTGCTGTCGCAGAATTCTGAGCCCTAACAATGTTATTTGGCTGTTCCCTGCCATGTTAGCTGCTAAATGTTTTATTTGCATCTTAGTATGTTTTAATTTTGTACAGTATGCTAATAAAGGTTTCTGTCTGTCAGAATCTAAGCCAGATCTTTTTTATGATTTCTTTTTAGGTTATTGATTACATTCTGCCACCCTTAATTTCTTTGGTCTTCAGTCAAAATGGTAAATACATACCTACGTCAACTAAAATACTCATTTTGCTTTAATTAAACATTAGTGTGGTCACAGGATTGGCACATTGATATTTTCTAGTGGAATGGAGATTCTTCAGCTTGCGACTGCTCTCTGAAACCACATCAGTGCTTGTAAGCCACAGGGTCATGGCTGAAGAGAGAGAGAACTTTAATTCAGACAACAAACTTCTGTGTCTTATTAGAGAGTCACTGCTACCTCAGTAAGTGCACAACATCTTTTCTAACTGAATCTAATTCAGTAACCAATCTTTTTTGCTTGCACATTTTAAAACTGTGGTTGAATGATTTATTGCATTTCATTTCATTTCTATACCTCCCCAGTAGTGCCACAGCACTGTTCTGGTCAGTTAGCAGTGTAAAATAAAACAGGATATAACAAACAAAATAATAAGATACAATCATAAAATAAGCAGACAAGCAAATTAAATCAGCATTAAGCCCCAACAGCGCAGTGTTTCAAATAAGGTCATGGGACAAGATGCCCAAAAATCCAAGTGAGGCTGTATTTGAAGGCCTCCCAGAAGAGCAGCATATTCAACAGCTTCTTAAAAATAGGTAGGGAGAGGACCAGGTGCAACTTGACTGGGAGCTGATTGGTGCCACTGCTACGAAGGCCAAACTTCTCATTGAAGATATCCTGACCTTCGGAATCATCACCCAGAGGAGCGTAGTCTGAAAAGATCTGGTGGCATGGGAGGGTGAACTTAGGAAAAGACACTCCAAAAGGTAACTGGGTGCTAAACCATTTTAAACAGCAGAAGTAAGGTAGTCATAATGAACAACCAGCACTATCGCACTTTACTCTGTCAGCATGAGAGTTTTATGCAGGCCTTTGCAGTATGTACTGTAAAAACTAAACAACTGCAAGACACCCAAATAATTACTACTAATTAATTCAAAGCTACCTGACTTCTCTTGAAGAAGAATTTTTATTTAATTCTTTCAGTGTGATTTTGCTGGAATTCTATCTTTCCACTTGGTGTGATGTTGATGAGTCCATTTACTTTTGAATTGAGAATTCTTGTATGGTAATTGAAATACATTTTTTTTTTGGTTTTCAGTGTTCTGTTTTTTTAAAAAATGAATGAAGAACATGGGAAAATCTGGTTGCATTTTAAATATTAATATAGAGGATAAATATTTGCATTAGGAAAAATACTTGTTGGAAAGGACTGGTGTAGAGATAAGTGGCCTGTCCTAATTTGACATCAAAGGAAATGATAAGTTAAAATCATAAGTGAATGGATTTAGGAAAATACATACTGAGAGGCAGAATGGATGGACTAATAAAGCTAGAAAGCATGGAATGGAAAGTGACGAAGATAACTTGGGCCACAGTGTGCATTATATCTTACTATGTAAGAACTTCTGTATAGTTAACTGCTGCATAGGCACAATATGTATATAACCACCTCTTTTTTAAAAAAATGGTAAATTCCTTATCAAGTTGCAATTTTATGTAAAAAATGACCTGTGAATGAACCTCCAAATCGATCCTGCTACCATATCTCTGCTCACTTCCTTCAAACCAAATTCTGTAACATGAAGGAGAAGTACTTATAATTGCAAATGAAAACATGTGTGCATTGCTGAAATCTAAAGTGACAAAACACTAGAGAATTCTCAACTATTGCTATTCTATTTGCTTGGTTCTAGCTTTTTCAACATAACAGTTGAGGAGTAATGATGGTGCAACATGAATTATTGCATTGATTTGTTTCTTTCCATGACTGTGTTTGGATGTAGCTTTAAATTATAGTGTGTTTTCGTCATAGTTTTTTTTGAAGAAGCCATGATCCAACTTTCAGTTTAAAAAAGGAACCATAGTTTGTTTAAACTACTATCATTGCACACTTTTGAGGAGGGTTGTGAAGTGTGATGAATCTATGCAAGCAAATATCACATTAGTTACATACCAGGATGTAGAAGTGGAGAGCTAATGGGTCGGATGCCCATGGAGAACTTTGAAGCTAAAGATAAGGAACTTGTGCTGGATTCTGAAACAGGCAGGAAGCCAACATAGGAATTTAAAGATAGCTGATGCTTAATCAGAAACCTGTTCACAGTACCTGGGTCTCAGATACCAGGTTGAAGTAGCTTGTATTTGTGTCTAACAAGTTTTTTTCCTCTTGTCTCAGATTTGAACAAATTCTAACGGACCCTGACCCAGTACCAGCTTATGCCCTGAAGCTGCTGGTTGCTCTAACAGAGTATAGTTCTGCTTTTACAAGGTAACACAACATTAATACTTACATGGATCATAGTCCAACAAATTGTCTATTCTCATTGTAGAGCCTTAAGCTAGCCATGGAGAATATTTTACTTCTCCCACAAGCATTGAACAACAGATTCCCCTACTTCTGTGGATTATGACAAATCCCTTATGAAACTGAGGGCAGTTTTAAAAACCATTTGCTGAGTTGAATACAGAATTGCTATTTGAGAAAAGGAAGTATAAACTCTTTGGTCTCTTAACAACACAGTTTTTTATCTGTGTAATCCTTTGCTATGGAAACTTATTGGGGGAGTGGAACTGGTAAAACCATTCCTCAAATATCTCATTTACCTTAAAAGCCCTATTAGAGTTGCTATAGGTCAATTCCAATTTAAGGGCACCTAACAACAAACAATTCTTCCTACCATTATTTACTCAGTTTTAAACACTTGCAGAGAAAATAAGCATCAATGAATGTAATGGAAATTAGTTAAGAATAAGTGTTTGTAGATTTTCATTTTTGGATGACTTACAGTTTTTTTTTCCTTTTAATTTATCTAAGAATAGGGTAGGGAACACAAAAGGTAAAAGGGAGTGGAAGGAAAAGGAAAGGGTTAGGAGAACACAAAATATACAATCATCGAATCTAGTCATATTACAATAACAAATCCACTTTCAGCTTTTTTGTAATTTGGTTGCCCTCCAGCTATCCACTTATAGCTTTATTTCGGTTTAAATATATGTTACTCCAACACTATCTGAGAACCATGGCCACTTGTATAATAAATCCCATCATTCAGTTTCCTTTTGAATTGGATAGTTATTCATCACATCTGAAAAATATCCATTTCTGTCTCATCCCATACTTTCTCAATATGTTCCTCTTGTTTCAGTGATTGCTTTCTTCTAATTTTTGAAAGAGGAGAATGAATCCGAAACAACAATCCAATTTTCAGTATCACATTTTCTGACTGTAGTAATTGAATAAATCACTGGATAACTCTTTACCCCATCTATGTTACCTGGTATCTTACTTAATAAGGGCTGTTCTGGAGTTAATACAGTTTCACTTAACTGTTGTTTAACATCCAATGACCTCTCTTTCATCTGATTTTCTCTCTGATTAAAATGTTCATTTATTTGCTGAAATCCTGCTGTTATTATCTTCTGCATGTTAATCTGCCATTCCTTGTCTGTTTTTTGTGCCATTATTCCCAAATTTTGAGCCATTTCGATGTTTCCATTAAGTAGGGTTTATATAAATAATACTATATCCTTCACAAACCAAATCCACAATCATAAACTTCCCCTAGGTTCTTCCTCCCACCCATACACAGATGTTATCATATATAAAATCAACTTTTAGCCCGTCAATTTAAAATACAACTGTGGCAAAAATATCCTCTTTTTCTGCAAAAAGCTAACAAAATTCTATTGTCAGAGTCCCACACAGGCAAGCCAAAAAAGTCCAAACTACTCCGCGATCACAAGGTTTCAGTCTCTCCAATAGATCTCCTTGTAATCCGACTAATATTCTTTCCATTGGTCCAAAGAATCCATAAAGAAAAACTCCAGTCCTGGTTTTCCTGGCTCCTCAGTCCAGTTGGTCATGTCTCAATGTTTTGTTTGTTTCTCAGTCTGTTCTCATGCTTCTAAAAAAAGAAACTAATTCCTTCTTCTCCAAAAACCAGATAAACATCTATTTTCACAGTCTAGGTAGAGAGATCCAATCTGAACCACATTCACAAAGTTTCAGTCTCATAAATCCTGTCCATCAGTATTTTTTGTTTTGTTTTCAGGAACAAAAATCTTTTCCATCACTGTCTCTCTTTTGGCCTTGAGCCAGCCTGCTGTTTAAGAGTCAATTTCACTTTTGAAGAAGCAGGCTGGTAAGCAAAAGCTCGCCGCTCCTTTCCTTCTTTCTTTTTCAGCTTAATGGGGTTGTTCATAAATCAAAAGCTTCAACTTACTTTGTTACTATATATTTTCCATGCCGTCATACTTGTTCTCTTCTCCTCTGGGGGGGGGGTACTCACAGCTCAGTGCCAAGATGGCTCCCGCATCCGATCTGTGCTCGAGTGAATTTTACAGATGGAAGAAATACTGGGTTGCTGCCCGCTCTCCCCCATCTGTTGCTCACCAAATACTTCAGAGAAACCTCTCCTGGTCTCTCCTTTGATTCCCTTATTTCTAAGGGGACCCCAAACCAGGCAGTTCCAGCTTTTCCCGGGAGCTCCCTTGGATCTCCTGACTGCACCGCGACAAGCCCTGCCTCCCCGGATGACTTATAGGATTAACATTTGTTACAGTCAGCTCTGATGTCACCTGTCCTTCAAGGGTTTGGAGGGAAAGTTATCATCCAATAGTGGTCGGGAGGCGGGACATCAGGAGGAGGAGCTGTGTCGTATATATAAAAAGTGGAGGTTTTTAGGTGGGAGAGAGAGGAGGAGTTGGGTTCTGTGTGAACACGTGTGGAGAGCCTGTATAAGCTTGAGCCTTTCGTTACCTGATTACATGATATTTGTGTTTTACCAATCCATGTGTACCAATCAATAAACATTTAGTTCTTTTATTTTTAAATCCATTCCAGTCTGTGTGACTCAATTCAGGGAATGGTTGGTGGCAGACTACCGGAAGTGTAGAAGTGTGGTGACGTAGCGACCTTCCTTTGAGCTACACGCTCAGTCAAATCAGGTTGTTTATCTGCTAACATTGTTTGGATTAAGCTCTCAGGAGAGCCAGAGAAATTTATAATAACAGAGCTAAGTAGTAATTGATGGAGCTCGCTAAATTTAGAACAGTGGTAGATAAGAGAACAGTATCGTTGGCATATAATAGCAATGGAACAGAAGATGAGTCCATCCTAGGAGCATGATGTTCAGTTATGGCAATGTGGTCTAGTAGATCTGACATGAATAAATTAAAAAGAGTAGGAGCAAGGACACATCCTTGTTTAACTCCTTTAGAGATTGAGATATCTTTGGGCAGAAGACATTTATTATTGACCCGTACTTGGCAACTGGTGTCAGAGTGAAGTTTATGCACCAAGAACAGCAGACAAGGGTCTATTCCTTTGCTGGCCAGTTTATTCCAGAGCAGAGATCGATTGATGGAGTCAAACATTCCTGGAAGATCAATAAAGACAACAAAAAGATTGCCATGGAAATGAAGATAATACAGTGGTGCCTCCCAAGACGATTGCCTCGTGGGACGAATAATCTGCAAGACAATTAGTTTTTGCGATCGCTGTTGCGCTTCGCAAGATGATGGTTTCCTATGGACGATTTTCGCAAGATGACAATTTTTTCCCCATTGGAACGCATTAAATAGATTTCAATGTATTATAATGGGGAACCGCGTTTCACAAGACAATGTTTCCTGTGGACGATTTTCACAAGATGACAATTTTTCCATTGAATCGCATTAAATGGATTTCAATGCATTCCAATGGGGAACCACATTTTGCAAGATGATGTTTTCGCAAGACAGTGTTTTTTGCGGAACGAATTAATGTTTTCTTGCGAGGCACCACTGTATTTCTCAGCTAGAAACACGACAGTGAGCGTGTGAGCGAGTGTTGAGGATCCTGCTCGGAAGCCTACCTGTTCCTTTCCAGGCAGGCTAAGATCAGTCATCCATTCCAAGGGATGTTTCTCTAGATGCTTAGCATATATTTTATCAAGTCTTGAAAGTAAGCTAATAGGGCGACAATTAGCTGATATACTTGGATTGCCCTTTTTAAACACTGGAATAATGATAGATGTTAACCAGGAATCAGGAAAAATACCAAACTGGCCAGAGGTTTCGCTCACCAGTGCGGATTGTTTTTAATTAAATCAGCTGGGATCTCATCTGGTCCCGGAGCCTTCCCTGATTTTAGGGAGGCAATAAATTCTAAGATCTCCTGTTCAGAAACTGGGGGCCAAGGAGGAACATCACGAGAAATTTGCCCAGCGAACTGAGTTCCCGATGAATTAGAATCTGTAAGTAGATTTGAATAATAATTGGTCCATTTGACAGGAGAAATAAGGGATTGTATGGCATTGGTTGAGGAAGGGGTTGTAAATGATATCAATGTCCAGAATTCCTTTGTATTCCTGATACAGGAAGCATGAATCAATCTGGTCATTGTCTTAGGGCACAAGTGTGTCTTTTCCCATCCAGGAGAGATTGGCAATTCTTTTTTGCCTCAAAATGCAGTGTAGCTAGATCAGAGGAGCCCTGAGCATGTAAGCGGTGGAACATTAGATGAAGATTTCTTTGGGCAGCCCAGCATTCTTCTCAAACCAATTATAGAAAGTATTATAGTTATCCACTAAATGCTTAGGGTTTTGAAGACTGCTGAAGGACTTATTGCTTGGTATGACTGGTCCATTGGTCATATAGATCCCTAGTTTTATTTGACCAGACTATTTTATGATGATAAAAGGCAGGGGGAGTAATAGTATTAGTTAAGAGGGGAAGCTCCCAAAATAAAGATACAAAAACAGATTGATGGTCACTTTCAGAACAAGAACCAATCGTAAAGTTCACAAGTTTGGGAAGCAAGTCAGGGGAGATTAAAATGTAATCTGCCACACTCATACCCCTGGATGATAGAAAGGTAGGTCACCGAAATAAGTGCTAATTCTAGATCCGTTGAGAATTCTCAAATTATAACTACAACAAAGGTTGACCATATGATGTGCTACCTGATTGATTGTTAGGTCTTTAGATGGCCTAGAATCTCAAAAGGGAGGTGGTATTAAAGCATCAGAGCCCCACATCATATGATCAGATTGAGCATCGTTGCTGAAGCCCAATCTGGCATTAAAATCACCTGCTAAAACAAGTGAGGAAGATGGGTGATCAGCGATTAGAAAGTCAAAAGTGGCTGTCTTTTCCAGTGAAACTTACTTTCTTGTGATATATCTGAAGTGTTACACCCACACATTATTTCCTTTCTATCTCTGCCATCCAAAGAAGGTATGCAAAGTTTTATGAGCCATTCCCGAATCTGCTCATAAATTTTACACT